CAGCATGGCACAAGATAAAATGTAATGGGGCTTCATTGAACACCGTTCGTAGGCGATGAGGTTTCTAAAGACATTCTGCGTTGGCTCCAATTGTCATATGTGGAATTTTCTTCACGTCATTTTCCCTGTTGAAGGTTATGCACAACAGCTCTGTCCCCCAGGATGCAAGTTGTGTAGAAGTTTTGAGACCCCTCTTGTCCCACATCGGGCAACAGTGGTTTTTCACTAGCCTTTATATAGGCTTATTCCTTCTAATAGTAACGAGAACTTGGACCACTTGAAATGAAGATTGAGGTTTGGGTCACTAATTGTGTGAATTAGGCTTGATGATTATACTATAATATTAATAATAATTAATATTAATTAATCAAGACAAGGGCCTTGAAATTAAAATTAATCTGATCAATTAGTTTTAATTTCGAAATAAGTTTTTAATTAAATTAATTAAAAACGTTTTGATTAATAGACACAACTCTTTCCAAAGAGTCTCTCTTTCCAAAGAGACTCTTTGGAAAGAGTTGTATAACTTCAGATAAATCCAAAAAGTGTATGAAGAGGTATGAAAGAACCTATATAACTGGAGTCCTCAGTTCCATCAAAGATTATCTTTTCTTCCTTCTTGTCTTCCATACAAAATTTCCAGAGAGTAAACATACAAAGCAATTCGCTTGAGTTCTATAATCCAGTGCGGGTTGTAGAATTAAGTAGTTGTATCCTGGTCGAGCAGACGTTGTAGAACCACAAGCACACAAGTGGGACAGAAATAATGTTCGAAGGACATAGCGTTTGCGCTAGCCTCTACCTTCAATTCATTCAAGTTAGTATCATTCTAATTTTTTGTAATTATTGTGTAATTGCATTCTGTATTGCAAGTATTTTTGAATAATAAAGTATAAGTATTTCGGTTCTGTATTTTTGTTATTTTATTGTTTCTAAATTGTTCTCCAACAAGTTGAAATTTGACTCCAAACTCGTCAAGATGTGTCACTGAGGGAATAGGAGTCCAATGTTCATAAAGACTGTCCTTATTCCTCGATACTGATCCAACAAGCAAATCCCTTGCATTGTTAAGTAGATGTCTGAATTTCGATGTCTCCCTTTCATTATCAATAATTTCTAAAAAGGATCTCTGATCGTCCAAGTATGCATAATTTCGAAACATAATAGCGAAGTTCGCCGATGTAGAGAAGTCTCTTCTGATTCTTTTGCAGGTTGAATAAACAGTCGAGAACTTTCCATGGAAGCTGGTTTTCAAGCAGCAACAAGTCGTTTTTAACTATCGAATACACCTCTGGCATACTGAAAACATCATGATATCTGGAAATCGGATTCATTCCGCGGGTAAGTTCTAAGAGAAAGCAACCATCGACCACCAATATTTCTACAAACTGATCGCTGTACTCAGATGATCATCTAACTTTTCGTCATAGCAGTTAGGAAGAAACTCTTCTCTGCTTCTGATTTCTTTGACAAACTTCACCAAACTGGTGTCTGGAGTTGGTTTGCGTTTGAGGAGGCATTGCAAATTCCATAGCTTATATTCTTCCGTGGCTTGGAACCTTTTTCCTCCGTTGTGATACGGCCCGATTGAAACCACTCGTGGACCAAAAGCATTTTCATTGTCCCTGCCAAGTTTATTAAGGACTCGGAATATGCAAGTAGGATCTGTTTCTGGAAATTCCTGGGGAAGCTTTTTTTCTATGAGGGACGCCAATAATTCGTCTTCATCTCTTTCGTTTCCGCTCAAAGTTTGGTTACCCACATCACTTATTTCTAACTCACATCTCTCTCCCTCCTCTCTTACTTGAATTACGGAGTGATCTCCGTTTGCATATTGCTCTCCTCAGCTGAGTCTGTTATCGTCAACTCTTTCCAACTCCAAATGTGACTCATCTAGTCAAGTATTATAATATTAACATGAACAAAAGTGTTTGAATAGCGCTATCCTGCTAATAATATGTCTAGATCTAAAACATGGAATATTTATAGGCAGTTGGTAGGAAAACTTACCAGGATGATCGAATTTTGATGCAGCCTGAGATGATTATATATTCAGGTTGAGAAACTTATAAGGTCGAATGAGGAATCCTTTGGCCCCCTCCCTCTCTCAGAGCATACATAGATCTATACTTACACTTCCAGACTCATACATGAGAGTGAAACACTCTGTAGTCTCTACCGTGCTGCCAACCAATAGACTCGCAAGTCTTTGTTTATATTCCCAATTGACTTTCTCACACACCCCACCCAACCCCAAAGAAATACAAAATAAAAAACCGCTAGCATATTTTGTCTGGTCGTTCTTGTTCAGATGGTTTTCATTTATTTGCTTGCGACATAACGGTAGGTTTTCACTGTATCATTGCGTTTGGGGAAATTTTCATTTAAATCCGCAATTTTATCTTAAGAAATTTAGGTTAAAACTAATAGTTTTTTTAATACACAATTACGATGTTGTGTAAGTTTATAACATTCCTTAGTAATAACGTACGTCTATATTGTAATAGTATGCGATTGGTGTACAATAAACGTTGATTTTGTAATTCAATCACGTTAAAATAGAAAAACTTACATTAACAATGTAATAGAACGTCGACAGCGTAACTACCAACCTTGTTATGTTAAGTAATAATCACATTATTCTCTGTCATTAACTTGACTTTTATCATAATTACGTATTCTATATTGCCCCAACTTAATAAAATGTTTTTTGCTCCTTCCTGCTCCTCCTCCTAGCTATTGGTTTTCCTCGCATAATCTTTAAGTATCTTTTTTCATAAAACTTTGTTTCTTGGCAAATATCTTCTTGAGTTGGCAAAGTTCTATTGGTGAGGAGTAACAAAAATAAACAATATATATTGAGATAGGATCCTTGCCGAATTCTCTTTGTGAGGATCTCGGGAATACTTTAATCATGTCTTTTCATCGTACATTGTACGATCAGAAATTATTTTAAATTATATTATTTAACTTGAACACAAACAATACCTGACGAAAACTGACCGCATGATGTATAATGAACAAACAGGATTAAAGGATCCTTGGAATCCTCACAAAGAGGATCCGGCGAGAATCTTATCTCGTATATATTTACCCAAAAAAAAAGAAATTTTGTTCTCCAAGACCTTATGGTTAAAAAAAAAAAAAATTATATTCATCAACCATTCAATTTTAATCTGACGGTAAATGATTATTTAACTTCTATTTTTATACTTTTCTAATAAATTAAGATCAAATAGTAACGTCTACTGTTATTTTTTAGACCTACTCTAAAGCTTGGAGTAAAACTCAAATTTTAAGTTATAAACCAGTCCCAACTGGCTCCAACCCTTGGGCTAAACATGAGTTTTAACCCAAAACTCATTTTTGGAGCAAATTTAGGCCAGAATTCCCCCTGGGTTGGTGGGGTGGAGGCTAGTCGTAATTTTTTTTTAGTTTTATATTTATAAATTCATTGAATTTAACGGCTAAGATCTAATATAATCAAATTAAAAAAAAAATCTACTAGTCCAAATTTAATTCCAACAGCTAAAATAATTTTAAAAAAACTTTCATGTCTTTTATATCTTTCATAGTGTTCCACAAGTTTTACGGTGTCGGTTTACTGATTTTTCAATATTTATCGGAATCTAAATATTTTTAGGTTTAAATGTTCATTAAAGCAAATTTGAATAGTATACATTTTTTTTTTTTAAGTTACTTTAAGATTCAAATTATTCTTAATTTATTCCTTAATAATTTCAGGCTAGATATTTAATCCAGAAAAATTAGAACAAAAAAACTGTTTCAGGTTGAAACTTAAATTTTTTAAGTTAAGAAATTTAAGTTTTAAATCAAAGAACGAATATGGTCTTAAGACCATGGTGCCTCAGAGAACGGAACCGGCAAAGAGAGAGCTAGGCTACTCTAAAGATCCCGGTATCTTGGGGGATCCAATCTAATACATGTGATAAGAGAAGTCATGTGCCAATCGAAAAAACGCCACCATTTTCAGAGCGCCCGCAGCCACCACCTAACAACACCCCCCACTCCCCTCCCTCCCCACCCACCCCCCCCCCCCCCACCCCAAAACCCTCCCCTTCCCTCTTTTCCCCCTCCCCCCCTCTCCCACGTATGGTGGTGACCACAACCCTGTGATAATAGGAACCTCGCCGGATCCATTTCCTAGGGATCACGCAATCGTGTCCGTTTATCATATATCGTGTGGCCAGTTTTCGTTAGGTACTATTTATATTTGAATTTAATTTTAAATTTTAAATGATTTATGACCGCATGATATACAGGTGAATGGACATGATTGCATGATCCCTAGGATCCCTAAGGAATGGATCCGGCGAGGATCCTGGTTCATCATATATGTATGTGATGTGACCAACACATTTCTTTTTTTTTTTGTACGACGATATATTTTACAGTAAGAGGAGAGAAGAGTTCGGTTAAGCCACACGATGTGGAACCTAATTTGGTATCGAATTCGTCATCCACGACATTCAAACATAAGACTTCTCACTTACAAGTGAAGAGGATTACCATTATGTAGTCCAATTACGGGTTCTGACATTCATTTTTAGGGTTGTTACCCTTTGGAATAGGAATAGAAACCCTCGGCCCCTTCTATGAACTCATAAATTAATGTTCTAAAACCGAAAGTACGTAGTCTAAACTCTATCTTGTTCCTTCACTTACTTGCCTTACTAGTGACTATATATACTTGGACAACCAAGCTAGCTATTGTACATGTGAGTGTTTATTAATCGTTGATGCAACTAAATTTACATGAGTAATTGTCCGTAACTTCTTTTTTAAAGTGTTTACATCACCCTGTACACAAGGACAATAGTTTATCTATACTTGCTGTGTATCTTTTTGTTTATCTTACTCATTATATATTTAATTATGTGACGAAAGAGATAAAAGCAGATAAGAGATATAGTTAAGTCTTTCTCTCCAACATGAGTTCTTGTATGTTCAGAGATCTCCAATTGTACGCGACATTAAAGTGCAATCAAAGGGTCCAAATTCATTAAAACACCATTGGGTCCACAAACTTACACATAGCATTAACAAAGCAAGAACACACGCTCTCTCTCCTTTTGGAGAGGGCTGGCAACATATCTCAGTGCACATCTACAAACAAAACGGGTTGGAACAGCAGGAAAGTAGGAAAAACAATATATCAGAAGGAAGAAAAAAAAAAAGAAAAAAAAGAAAAAAGAAAGAGCATTGGATGCCATTATACTTAATTAGTGCAATCCAACGGCTACTTTTCTTTAAAAGCAAAAAACACCGACCCGACAACGGCTACTTTTGTCTCATGGGGACAACCGGACAAGCCCTTTTTTGGGCCTAGAAAATCCTTAGTCAAAAAAGTGCTTATATTCTATATATCATGACCTGTTTGTCAAATATAAGCCAAGCTAGAAGTGGAAATTGAGGCGAGAAGTGTAAGTGGCTTTTGGAGACCAATTACCGGGAATGACATCTCTGGCTGAGAGAGTTTTTGATGTCGAGAGAGTTGTAATCTTCACTGAGAATGGTCCTTTTAGAGGACCCCCATTTAGGCACCAATTAGCTCCCCATACATGACTCATCTCGATCCACTCGCTTGAACTTGCCTGCACCATCCCACCAGCACAAAAATATAAATAAAAAATTAGTGAACTTTAAATTATTTAATCACTTAATTAACGCTAAAGTATGGCTTTGCAAAATCGTTTCGGATTGAGGTCTGCGATAGGAATTGTGTAGTTCGCTGGAAGATAACAACTCAAATTACTCAATTACATATCACGAGTACACTGTTAATGTAACAGTATGCTCGCAGCATGTAAATTTTGCTTCTCATGACTAAAATATTCATTATACGAATATCTTTTTCTTTGAAGGTTTTGTAAACCGGACATGTTTACACTGCTTTTTATTTGAAACTGTGGAATTGTACGAGTAAGTACTTCGTTATATTTCAAGGAAAAATTATCTTTACTTTCGTGATTTGGCATGCTTTTTTTTTCGAGTAATGTTACACTTATTATATATTTGTACCATCATTTGTATCATTTCTCTAATAGAGGTAAGGCATACTAACATATGTAAGTCTTATCTTTATTAGAGATATGATACAAATATATAGTACGAGCAACATTTTTGTTTTCTTAATAACAAAAGTAAATGTAAAAGTAAAGTAAGTAAAGTTGCAAGAGGCATGCAGCAATGTATAAAAAAGAGAAGGAAAACGTGCCGGTCTTATATGCATTGATCCGACGTCGCCATCTCCATCCTCAAACTCTACTAGCAGTGATAGCCAATAATTTGTTGAACCTTCATTTACATGGAAGGCTATCTGCTTCCCAGGATACTTACATGGTGTCCTGTAGGTAAAATAATTAAATTGACATATGCGTACGAGGACCGTTAAAGCAAACAAGCTAAACATGACATATGCGAACGTTACCGTCGGTAAAGGACGGAGAGTTCGCCTCGGTTTCTGAGCAAACCGCCTTCGCCGGCGACAGCCATGCGCCCAAAGGCTGCACCGCTGAGGTCGAACTGGGCCGGCCCCTTGGAGCAGCCCGGACACTCGTCTGTCACGATTATCGTGACGGGTCGTCTCGAGCAGATGCTTCCATCGAGACACTTGATTTTGTAACACGCGCCGCACCCCTCGCCGCTCTTGAACAGAACCGGGTTCACCGCACCAACCCTTGCCCTGAACGGCTTCACGTCCACCATTGACCCGTACCCACACGCTCCGCCTACCAAAATTACGCACATGCCAACATAATTAATGATTTAATTCCCGACCAATTAAAATAATTTGTACCATCTCAACAGAAGAAATATATATCAAGAATTTCACATTAATACTCTAAATTTATCTATATTAACGGAAAAGAAAATTCAAACTTTGGTGCAGTGGAGCACATTGATCTAGTGAACTTGACTAAATTTAAATTGACACAAGTATAATACAACTGAGATGTACAAAATCTGTTGGGACTGTACGTACAAATGATACTTTTGACTGTCTAAACATGCGGCATTGTAAGCTAAAACCAAATTGAATTGTATTTGAGGGTAGGGTCTTACCGTCGCTGCCGTCGCCTTCGGGGTTGCCGTACCAGGTGGCGACGGCTGGGAGCCAGCGGGTGCTGGCCCGGAGTTGCTGAACTTGACAAGACACAAGCAGAAGCAACGAATTCAGCACCAACACAAGGCCGAAGCCGCGGTGGAGGAGCTGCATTGTGAGGTAGGTTGCTGCTTAATTAAGTGGGTGTTGAGTGTCGGCGGAGGCGGAGAAAGTTCTGAGCACTGGTTTGGCTAAACAGTGAGCACAAAGCTCTGCCGACAATAGTGTAGTGAATTAGAGGCTTTTTTTATGCTTTTGGATAGGTTCCGTTCTGTATCGTATATAACTATATATATATGATACATAGCACATGCTGCAACGCTGCAACAGGAAGAGCTTCAATAATTTTACTATGACCATCCGCCCCATGTCCTGTCATTGTATTACGATAAAAGCCACTGAAACCTGGGCCCTACCGACGGTTGAGGCGTTAATTCCGCCTAACTGTACCCTACATCGTTTCTTTGTTCAGTTGTGCATTGGGGACGGAGTCACGGAGCGAGGGAGCGGTGTTTTTGTCGTTTCGGCGGAAATTGGACCGTTTAAGATGAGGAAGTGAGGGGCAGTTGTGCAACAAATACTGGGAGGGCAAGCGTGGCCACTGAGGACGCCGTTACAGAAAAACGCAGTGTGAACAATTGGCTGACACATTTTCCGGGATATTGGCAGGTTTTGTTGACTTCTTCAACTGATTTTATCTAGAAGAGTAATGTTTCACTTGTTAGAGTTTCTCCTTGATAACTCATGTTTTTTACATAATGTTTTATAATATTATTACAAGATTGTGCTAAAATAATAAATGATAAAAAATTTATAGAAAATCTCAATTTTAAAAAAGTTTCCTTAACGTATATTAATTGAGTGAAACAACGTACAAAAGCTTATGAGTTATGATAAACAAGGAAGACTCTTTAAAATTAACCGGCCCTAGTAATGATCATAAAAAACAAAATTACAACTGAAAAAATTGTTAATGATGAGTTTTAATATTATAAAAATGTCGCATGATGGTTGCGTTACCGGTACAAACAAAAGTATCTTTTCCAAATGTACGTAACAATCAAGCTATTACTCAACTGCTCAATTTTTAGATGGGTAAAATCTCATCTGATTGAGAAAATTTTATGATATTTGTAGGCAGCTGCCCACCTTGCCATGAAAGAGGGGGAAATAGATTGAAACTAAGCAGAGAGAAACAACAAGTAGGAAAAGAACTTACAAGCAACTGCACTAATTAAGCGCCTGGTTGAAAGTTAGCTAAAGCGATTAAAGTTCATTATTAATAGCCAATAGGAGCCGTTTTGTGAAACATCTTGACCTAGCTAGCATCTACTTTGATTTGCTCCCTCCAAGGGATCGTAGGTAGAAGAAGACTTTGAACGAAGATTCAAACTTGAAATGTCTTTCAATTGTGAGAAGGAAAATGTTAGACAAAACTATGCCCCAAAAAACTTTAAGTGTCCTACAATGCACGCTAACACCCTATGTCACGTACATGATCTTCTTAAACGTGGAAAGAAACACAAACAAGGCGGCCTATAGGTTTCTAACTGACCATAAACTCTTAGAACTAGAGCTTTAATAGCATGTTAGACAAACACTAGCCTCTAAAACTTAAGCTGCCATGAAACGAAACCAACAATATTTACATCAAGCTAATGAAGTACTTGCACCAAAAGTTGGTTAACAAGCAACAACCAATCTAAACAAACAAAATTGAACTCAAATGAAGCTTTCCCCTTGTTCTTATCAATTAGACGTATTATATTACTTTGGCTATTACTAGTCCTTTACCTGATCCTTTCTTCTTATGGAAACATGTTACAGCTAGCCCTCTGTGTTTGAGAACTTCCATTCAAATTGACAGTTTATATGGTTTTAGTCAAAGTTCCTAGTGTAGAAAGAATAACACCCCTTTTACCAATGAGTCCTCTTTAGGGTTTCCATATTATTATTATTATTATTATTTTGAAAGAGTTTCCATATTATTTGTTATCTTAAAACTTACGTACTTGAGAAATCATGACCTAAAGTCACGATTTAATATTGGTTATAATTCGTGTGGCCCAAGAGGCAAAATTTTCTTTAGTGCACCAACTAAATTTGTAGTTTATCAATCCTAACAAGTGGAGATAAGCTAGTGGTTGAAGTGGAATTAGATATTCATGGATATATAATTATCCGGTTTTTGTTTGCATGTGTATTTTCTAAGGTTGCACTTGGTTGGTTCTTAGCGATATATATTTATTGATCCAAGAAAAAGGACCTTGAAAACAAAGAAAACTGCTGCTTAGCGGCCAAAGTAGAAGGAAAATCACTTGTTTAAATCAATCTCTCAATTCGTCCATAAGCCTTTCCAAAATATGTGAAGGACTCCGGCCATGTAGTAAATTAGCTAGAATTAAGAATGGAATTTTGTGCTGATTCCAAATTGGATGGTAACTTACAATGAACCAGGGGAGAGAGAATTTAGACTCGATCTAACATTCATATAAAAATGCTTATTAATCAACTAAACTACAAACTCTTTCAAAATAGCTATAATATTAACCAACATATATATGCTTTGGATTTATGTTGAAAGCATTGAGATCGTGATATTTGTTTTCTTTCATCAAAGTTCAAACAATACGTACGTAGCTAGATTATAACCATATGGTGTAAACTGAAGCCAACTGCCTACAATAATAAATCCGTTAATAATGTGTTCTTATTGGTTGATATGATAATGACCCAATAGTATCGTGTTGATCTGAAATTTGTTATTTTCAAATAATTTTAATATCGTGTTAACGAATTGTATAAGAAATTGTCAGGTAAATAGCCTCCAATAATCATAGATGGGCTAAGCTGTAAAAATAAATATTCAGGACCCTACATGCACATGCATGAACAGAAGGAATCAAATAAGAATCCTACTGTGCGTGCGTCACGAGGATCATCATACTGCCAATGACTGCATATCATCTTTCACATGGGCTAAGTTCTTTCACTGGCCTACTGTGCGTGCGTCGCGAGGATCATCATACTGCCAATGACCGTGTGCGAATTCCTTTAATATGAAGCTAGCTTAAACCTTGAGGTAACAATTCGAAGCCCTTTCCTTGTGCTTCTTCAAAAGTCATGTTGCACGATGATCCGATCAAGCATCATAAAATAACATTAAAGTATGTGTGGGGTAATGCCCCGACCCAGTAGATAACATTCTTTAGTTAATTAAACGTACTTGATTATCGCTAACCGAGTAGTTAATTAAGACTAACTTCATTACAGAATCACATTTCTAATAAGATATAAAGCATAAGTACAATGCATCGAACAAATGAATAGTTAGCTAGTGCTCTGAAAAGAAATATATTACTCAATAAAGCAAGCACGATGCATTTCCTAGATAAAGCTCAATTAGAACTGATTATATATAAGATTGTGTTTTGATTATGCTAATAAAGTATGAATTTCCGGTAGTTAAAGTAGCGCAACTGTAGAAGAAGATACTTTGCGAATCCATTCAGCGAATACCACAAAAAAACTGTCTCAATTTTTATCTTAATTAATGCTCATCTCTGTGACAATGAAGAACCAAGCTACGTACTTATTATATTCAAGAACATGGGGATCTCCTTTGAAACAGAAGCTGAATCATGCTTTCTTGAATGAAAAAAATATCCCCTTCCTCCTTTGATACGAGCAATCTCATATGCAGAAGTGAATATTATTAATGAACTGATATACAAACCCCTAAAAAAAGAAGTCGAACATATTGAACCTCAAATACACGTTTAAGTAAATTATAACCAACAGAACTATAAACTCATTGCAATTGTTTTCCTCTTATTATGCCTTCCCTTTTTTGCGTGTTTTGGTTTGTGGCTTTAAGTTATAGGTGTTTTTCAAGTGTTGTATGGGTTCCTTGAATGTAGAGTCTTAGATAAGGCTGTACTTTGAGCGCGCACATTTACAGAGTATGCAACCATATCACCCAAGAATTTCCATCTTGTTCTAGCTAGGGTTTAAGTGAAGTTGAATTACTTAGTTCATCAGTTGTTGGCACATGCCTTTTTATAAAAGCAAACAGAAAGATTTCAACAGCAACAATTATTCAACCCAGTCACTGGGTACGTTAGGAGGGTAACATGCATGGTATGATGAGGAAGTTGAAAATTACGTGTTTTCAGTGGATGGATCATGGATCAAAACAGGAAGAATGTTGGAATTATACTTTTGAGCAAATAAATTATGAACACAATTATTCAACCCAGTCAGATCGAATACGTACACTACTACAAATTTTAACATACATGACGCAGTTTATGGATCATGTTAAAAGTTTAATTGGACGGAATCTTAACATACATGACACAATTATTCAACCCAGTCAGATCAAATAATTTTGAGCAAAATACTAACTTGCCCTTGAATTTGACATAATAGCGGACAGAATCTTATGACAAGGGGTTAATTGGCTTATTTCAAATAGTTCAGGAGGTTAATTTACCAAAAAAAATAGTACAGAAGGTCAATTTTCAACTGGAGTAATAATTGAGGAGGTCAAATGACAATTTACCCAAAAAAAAAAATTTGGTATCATGGAAGGTTGTATTAAAAGTCGTATAAGTTGTGCCTTCTAAATTCTAGAGAGCATATGTTGCCGACATTTGAACCTATCATGATGTAAGAACACACAAACTACACTCTAATGTTTCAGCAAGTTGCTCAAGATCTAATATCCACACCATTCATAATCTTGATTATCTTAAAATTAAACAAAATTAAGAGGTCTTCCATTCATCTATAATATTAATAATGATGCTTCCCACAGAGTAATGCAAATTGATAAATTAAGCAACGAGCAGAGAAATCATGCATAGGAAGTTGCAAATCCAACTGCCAAAACCCCCCATGTTCCTGTAAGAAACTGAAAAGAAACAACTTCTAATCCTGAAATTGGGGATGTCTGCACATGGAACATGCAAAAGTTAACAACATGATTGAACGGAGATTCCAGATAAATCGATATATTATGCATCGTTTAACAATCTATACAGAAACGCAACGATGAACTGTCAATTTCATGAGGTTCAGCATTCAGGTATACAGTGAGAGTTTAAAGTATGTACGTGACTAATTCCACCCTCTTCATCTGCTCGAGTTTATGAAACCTTCAATGCTCAATTGGTCAATCGACATCAGATGACTCATTTTTCCGATCCAGTTCCTCCACTCTTATTGTGTCTCCACACTACCATCCATCCACAAGTAGAAGCCCAGCTGAGCAATCAATTTACCTGTTTGTCTGATTTAGAAAGGTAAAAAACAGAAAGAATCAATAACAAAAATTCATGCAATTGCGGCGACAACCCAACTTAGCAGCAAAAATCCTATTACGGTTCACAACCTCCCTGCCCCTTTCTGTGTTGCAGGTCACTTGTAAGGATCATCATTCAATGAGGACCTTAAAACAGGATGGTTTAGTTTATTGGACCACATTTCACGGTGGAAATATGCGAGTCCAATGTGATCCTTGCAAATGGGAATCCCTTCAGGAAAGGGCCTGCTACTGTAAATATACATTATACAGAAATTTTATATGTAGTACATAATCACGAAACAAATTCTGAGACATTGAGCATGATATGTTACAAGACTGTCCCAGGACCAGATATTAAGACATGAGTTCACTTAATCAACGGAATATTTTCGCACTTTGAAAAGGGTATATTAATCAATATATAATATTTATAATATATATGCATACACGTCCATGTGTGTTCCATAAAAGTGGCACTACTTATGACACTCTCAGCTGTCCTACAGAATCTGAATGACTCATGAAAGAATCAGACAGAGGATCCTTTTCTTTTTTATAAATACTCCAGTGAAAAGAAGTGACAAAGATTATGGCACAAGAATTAGAACAAGACAGAAGAAAACGTAATAACAGAGTTTTATAAATTATGAGAAACGAAATATAGATCTTTGATTTAAAAAAGTAAAGAAATAATGCCGCAGATATATAACATGGCCCATTCAAAAAATCTAACATTCCTACCTTGTCATTGATCCTTATGTTCCATGAATCACTTTTGGAACCATATACAGGGTCACCAACGACATAAGGAGGTGGAAGAACAGCATTGTTTAGGAGTGTAACCCTCTCAGGAATATACTCATCATCACTATCATAATACGGATGTGGCCCAAGAGCTTTGAGTATCATTGCCAATAACAAAGACAGCCCCTGCAAAGTAAGGTAACGAACGTTCAACAGAAAGAGGACAGAGAAAAGATAAGGAATGGCCATGATCTGCAAACCAGATAGCCCTTAGCAGTGCACAAGTTGTTACAACATTCCTAATTTTATCATTCTCTTCTCTAAATTCTTCTTTACTTTGTTGTATTAATAATCTAATAGTCATTCATATTAACAAAATATATGCAACAAAATCAGGATTTTGACATGAGCGAGTGAGAAAGCAAAGAAGAATATAGAGGCACTTGCAACTCAAAATCAATTTTGGAACTAGTTAACTAGATTAATATCAACAGTCCCCAAAAAGAAAATGTGAGAAGGAGTGGTGCCCCCTGGGCCATGTTTTCTCTGCCACTGGAGACATGGGTTGAAGTTCCAGGGAAATTGGGGTCATTTACCCTGAAATATATTTAAAACACTCGCCTGATTCTGCAGCTTCTACTAGTTCTAGTAAGACAAATTAAGTGAGACTCGTTGAACATTTAACTTTTATTTCCTCACAAGATGTTAAAAAAAAGTTACAAAAAAGCATGCACAAACATGCAGTACACAAAGACAGAGAGAGAGTGAGAGAGACAGACCTGTACACAAACTATTGACAAGCCAATCCATTTGCAGATATCAAAGTTCGACCTTACAAATTCTTTGAATTGATCAAATCTCCCAGTTGGATCATCTGGAAAGTCCTGGCCACAAGTCAAAAAACTATCAGCATTATAACCAAATTGCTAATATGCTTCTCTGTAAGTCATTAACCCATTAATCAAAAATAACTACACTGTACTCAATATATACCTCTTCCCAGTCACGGTTTAAAAATATGTCAGCAGTCACTCCGGCTTCAAGCATGAAGAGTAAGAATATAAACACCATGTACTGTATGCAATTAAGGTAAAACACAGACATTTTTGTCATATATATTTAAAGATAACAGAAGTTAAAAAAAAAAAAAAAAAAAAAAAAAAAGTGAAGCCCCATTGAACTGTACTCATTTCTACAAATGTTTTATGAATAATCAATATCTAAAACAAAACGAATCTAAATGATCTGAAAAGATATGGCAAATATGGAGTTGACAATCTAGTTTAAAATCCATTAACTTCCATAGAAAGACAAGTCCAAATGCTATGATGATAAATAGCACTTACTATATAATCTACCCACTACGATGAAACTACTGGACAAATATGCCTTCTGAAATTAAAGTTATATCTATCTAGCTTTAAAGCAATATTTATCTAACGTAGATTAATTTTACCCTACTAAGACCTGGTTTGGTACTGAGGTGATTCTGAAAAAAGCTGGTATCAAAAAAAGCTGGGAGCTATTTTTGTGTTTGGTAAACATTCAGCTTTAGCTTTTTTTCACAGTTTTGGGTGAAAAAAAGCCAAAAACAAGAAGCTGCAAAACCCAGCTTTGAAAAACTGGCTTTTTTTCACATCTGTTTTACATAAAAGTTTATCAAACACTATAATACTGCTTGTTTTTTTCAAAAGCACTTTTACAAAAAAGTTTACCAAACACTCTGCTGCTTTATTTCACAGCTGCTTATTCTCACAGCACAACAGAAGTAGCTTTTTTTCAAAGCACAGCAATACCAAACCAACTCTCTTCATAGAAGTAGAACTGTAGCAGATATTTCAGGTGTTCAAAATTGTAGGTTGAAAAGAATTATCAAGCATGTAAGTTTTGTCAAAAAACGATGCAGCACATAAGCCTCCCCATTTAGAGCACATGAACACATTAACAGAATATTAGGAATCTAATAATGACATTTATAATGAGACGTGAACAAATTGTAAGGGAAGACAGAAATGATCCTGTTGCAAGCCTAATAAATATAATTAAAAGTTAATTTGACAGAGAAAGAAAACACAGAAATACACAACTATATTCATAGAACAAAAACGTAAAAGTATCAAGCTGCAAAAGGATGAAGAGAAATAAATTCTTTGATCTTATAAATTGTGTTCTTTTGAGTCAGATAAGCCCATTTAAGCCCATTGTAGTGCTTTCTTAGAAGCACCTAGTTGATGCTTCCTGAGGCACTTCCAAGTGTATTTACAAGAAGCACAAAAAATTTGAAAAATAAAAACTACAAAAACTATATATATCTAACAACAGTGCTGTCAGAAAAATCGCAGAGTGGAAAAATCACTTCCAGTTGAAGCACTCAGAAACAGACCCTTATGCTGTTTAAGGGCTGTTAGAGTTGCTTAATTTAAGGTTGAGTAAGAAGAAGGCAATTTGGTGGGGGAATGTGACGTTACTGACTCCAAATAATTGAAAAGCTAATAAAGATATATGCAACAAAAGGATACCAAATAAAGGCAACAACCATTTGCAGTGTCAGCGGCGATATGACCTGAGCATGTGATCACAAGCAGAGTGATCCCAATGCCAAGAAAAGTGTATATGAACCTGCAATTCATGCCAAAAAAAAACATAAAAGACGTTTTAAATCAGCACTGAGAAAAAGATTGTATATTTACCTAAAAATAAATAAACAATGCTGAGGACAAGGCCAAATTTACTTCATCCAAAAAGTCAAAAACCAAGACATAAAACCCAATTCGCACCAAAATCAACTGCTACAAATGATTAAATGACTAAGGAAGAACTAAATTTATTAAAAAAAGCACTTCATGCTGAGGTAAACACTTGTCATGGTTCAAAGGAGAATACCTAAAGCTAGCGTTTCTTACTATTGCCCTGTAGTATGCTAGGGAGAGGTGGAAAACACTGACAATTTGTTTCTTCATTGGCCAAATACATTGGAGTTGGAGTAGAGATTGTCGAGGAGAGAAAATTTACGTTGGCTTGGTCCATAGCAAATGTGAGGAAGCAAAGTTTATGGTTTTTCAGGTGTCAAAAAGGGACAAGTTCACTTGAGGTGAGTGCGATGACAGTTTTCAGCAGAAGGGAGTTTTGCAGAACAATGTTTGTTTCTAGTCTGACTAGTGTGGATTCTGATCATCTTTGTTATACTTCAGATTTGAATGTCAGTTATCTCCTAGTCCTCTTCAATGCATAAGCCTCCCACTATCAGAAGTGCGCAAGCACTAACTAGTAAGTAACTTAATATGGCACTATTTGAGCCCTCTCCATAACATTATTCCATGACCGTTCATTTTCTAAATCTACATTCAAATATCATCCTTACAAAAATTCGTCCAAATCAGAAAGATTTGCAATATCTAATCGTGACAAAGAAAAATTGACAGACAAAGTGATTTCCTTTAATTTTTCCATTTTTTCCCTCTCCTTTTTGCTCTCTATAAATCGAAAAGCAAAGTAAAAGGCTCATAAGAATTTTATACAAAAGAAACAAAAAGGCAGGTTTCAGTCAAAAAGGCTCATAAGAATTTTATACAAAAGAAACAATAAGGCAGGTTTCAGTCAAAAAGGGGAAATGACCCACCATAGCAAATGATGGCAACCTCCTAAACAAGCAATTAACTTTTCAAACAAACACAAAGTCTAAGAAAATGAGAAAAGGAAACCAATACACAATTCAACAGCATGGAAAGCTTAAAGTCTGGATTCCCTTGCATTTCCCACATTTTCTCAGGAAACAAACAGACCCTAAATGAGAAAATCCAGAGAAGGGAAAGAAAAACCAAGATTAGATAGATTTACAAACCAAGGTGTAGGATGGTGGTGAGAGTGGTCGAGTGGTGGGGGGAAGTGAGGCATGTTCCTCTGCCACGCGCTAATCAACCACAACGAGTACATAATCATGGCCAGCCCTACCATCCCAATCATACAATTCACCAACTTGAGCATTGATTGGACGCAGCTCCTCGCCACCCCTCCCATCCTGTCCGTCTGTCTCCGCCCGCTGACCCACAACCCAATTCACCAAAATTACAAAAATTTGGAGGGAACCCAACGAAATTGAAGATCGGAAGCTACGCCAAAAGGAGGATGATCGGAAATTCGACGTCGACCTTCGTTTCTATCAGTTTTGATGATTTTAAGGTTTCCGGATTTTTTGTCTTTCGTGTTGGACGGATTGGGTGTTACCGTGTTACAGTTGGATAAACGTTGGGCTTCCACGAAATTCGTGGCTTCGCTTTTAAGTTAATCATTTATCTAAGATAATTAAAGCACCTTTCATCAAAGAGGTGCTGTGGTGTAGTGGTTATCACGTCAGTTTTACACACTGAAGGTCCCCAGTTCGATCCTGGGCAGCATCAATTTTTACAATGACTTTTTCTGTTTAAACACCAGACAAGTTACACTCCTCACTTGCTGCGGATTCATTGTTCCCGACTATAGGCTAATGTGTTTTTAAAATAACTTAATTAAAACGCTTTTTTTAGCTTTCAAAAGCACTTGAAGTGGTGCTTCTTTTAGAAAAAACACTTTTTTTTCTAGAATTTAGTTACATTTTTTACTAAGAATTGGTTTCAAAAATATTTTCACCAAAAGCTCTTTCAGTCATTTTAAAAGTACATCCAAACGAATTATATGTCTTTTTCATGTCTCCTTGATATTTTTTCGACATGAGTTTCTTAACTTAACCATTTTTATGACCTTTTCTGTTTATTAAACAAGTTCGCTCCTCACTTGGATATTATGAAGAGATCATTGATGACCAAATCGAAATAACATTGGAAAAGGATAAGAAACCAGCCAAACATAGAACCGCCGGGCCCCAATGAAACCATCCCAAAAAAAGGTTAACCAAATCTTTGGTCAAGTGCATTACCATTGCCCAGTACTGCAACAACTATTAGGACTGAACAAACCCATTTCGAAAATGATCGAGTTAGTCGCTGTGCCGTAATGGAAGAGCTGTGTACACCCCATGAGACTGATTGCAACAAGGTTGTGACGCCCTCATGAGGACCGACTTGCTGTAACCGCCTGGCATTGTGAAACCTGCTGCAAATGTCACCGTGGCAACTAGTGTGGCCACCACTAATAACGTGTTTACCCTGTTCCTACGGATTTCCTCGTTAGGTAACTGAAAGAATGGAACCCAATGGACTAGAACTCTGATCCTTCCTTTGGTTGTAAATTGTAATAGCCATAATCATCCGTAATTTTATAACAATAGATAGCACAAAAATTTCCTGGTGTGATGCAACAATTCCCAAACTGCTTTCAGCAACATCAAGAGCTGTCATGACCCTACACTCTAAGAGCTTTATGTTGGTCCTTATATGCCAACCTCTGTACGGTGGTACATCGTTGCCAAATGCAAAGGAGTATTTCCACCGTTGTCTTTTTGGTTTATCAACCTTTGTATGATGGGACAAACATAATACATCTGGCCAAGCTGGAACATTTGTATCAACGAAGAAAAATGGGTATATGTTATGTAGGCAAACTGACCACAATGTAAGAAAAATGGTTAGGATTGGAAACCAGTCCAGATGAAAACCCACCTTCATAACTTCATAGCTGAAAATACCTTCCAAATAAGTGGCAAAAGGTTCCAAAACCACATTGGTTTAATTATCTTCAAAGTCGGAAACACAATCAAGAGGGGACCCCTTCGGTAGTTTTTCAGATTTCTAATTTGAGAGTTGAAACCCTTTTTCCTTCCTTCTCCTCTGGGGAGGTAAGTTTACATGTTACCAATCCAACTACCGAATGAGTGTAGTGAACTTCTATTTTCTTTCCGTCTATAGATTAAATCCCCAATGTCTGTGGATGTGTTGGAAGGTAAGGTCTAGGATTATAACCCTCTTTTCTTAGTTCTAAAAGAAGACTGTTGAGCACTGAATATATCTGAGCAGACTGGGGGTGACTCCCATCTGCTGCAACAAACATATGAGTGTTGTTGTTTACCTCAATCCAACTGTAACCAGGAACCTTTTGAACTTCTCTGTTTTTCATTAGCGTTCGAACCTTCAGCACGCTCCCCCATTTTCCAGCATCAGCAAGTATATTTGAGAGGAGTATATAATAGCCAGAATTTTGCGGTGCCAATTCAAAAAGATATCTTGATACCTCTTCTGCAAGCTCAACATTGCCATGGAGCCGACAGGCTCCAAGCATTGTTCCCCAGACACCCGAATCTGGGGAGAATGGCATGCTCTTTATTGTTTCAAATGCTTCACGTAAATGTCCAGCACGCCCTAATAGATCTACCATGCAAGCATAATGCTCCAACCTAGCTGGGATCCTATATTCCTCAATCATACAACGGAAGTAGAGAATTCCTTCATCAACTGCGCCTGCATGGCCACAAGCAGATAATATACCAAGAAAGGTGACATGATCAGGCAAGATCCCTTTACTCAACATTTCATGAAACAGAACAAGAGATTCCTTAAGGCGACCATGATTCCCATAAGCAGAAATGATGCTGTTCCAGGAAACTTCATTCTTCTCTTCCATCATGTCAAACACACGGCAAGCAAGATCTAAGTTTCCACATTTGGCATACATGTCTATCAGTGCACTCTCAGCAAATAGATCGGAACTAAATGCACTTCTAATCATGAAACTATGGATCTCTTTCCCATAATGAAGTGCTGGTAAGTTTGCACAAGCAGATAGCGCAGCTGAAATGCTAACACAGTCATACTTGGCACCTTCCGTCCCCATTTGACGAAATAGATCTATCGCCTCTTCCGGTTTGCCATTCTGCGAATAGCTTGTTATCATCGAGTTCCAACAAACAGCATCCCTTTCAGACAGTCTTTGAAAAACTCGATGAGCAAGATCGAGCCTTCCAGATTTTGCATACATGTCTGTAAGGGCACTACCCACATAACACCTTGCATCAAGCCCATGCTTAAGGATGTTTCCATGCAATTCCTTTCCAAATTTCAGAGCAGCCAGACCAGCACAAGCTGGTAGAACACTTGCCAGTGTTAGAGAATTCGGTCTCATTTTCTCTTTAAGTAACCTTCTAAAAATTTCCAATGCATCACAATTCATCCCATTGAGAACAAACCCTGAAATCATAGCTGTGCAGATGACAACATCCGTTCTGGTGCTTTTGCTGAAAATTTTATGTGCCATGTCCACATTCCTGCACTTGAAGTATACATCAATAAGTGCACATTGCAAAAACACATCCAAAGGCACGCAGTGCCTTACAATGTAACCGTGAATTTCCTTACCTTGCTTGAGGCTACCTAGTTCAGCAACCGAAGGTAAAAAACTTGCAAATGTGATCGAATCAGGTTTGACACTAGTAGATATCATGTCCTGAAACAAACGTGAAGCCTCAAGCATAAACCCACTTTGTATATAACCTGATATCATTCCATTCCATGTCACTAAATCAGTTCGAGGCATCATATCAAACAACTTGCGGGCATCAGAGAAGCATTGGCATTTAGAATACATTGCTAACAATGTATTAGCTACAGAAGAATCCAACTCCAACCCACATGCAACAACAAGCCCATGGAGTTGAGTACCAAAACCAATCATAGCTTCTGAAGCACAAAGAGACAAAATGCAAGCGAACGTCACTGCATTAGGCTTAACTTCACTACTTCTCATTTCCAAGAACATTCTAACAGAATTATTTAACTCTCCATTTTTAACATAACCATGAAGCATAACATTCCATAAAACACAATCTTTGACAGGCATTTTCACAAACAAGCTCCACGCGTCCTGAATACAACCATTGTCCACATACAGTCGAATCAAAGAGCTGCCCAAAAATATATCAACTCCATAACCCATAAACTGGATAGTATCATAGACAGCTTTGCCCAATCTTACATTATTCACACCACCACAAGCTTTAATTACACTCAGAAAAGTGTACTTGTCAGGTGAAACTCCAGAACTCAGCATCTTAAAGTAAAACAGCAAGGCATAATCAAAGTAACCCATCATAGTAAACCCTCTAATCATTGAGTTCCAAGGCAAAGTATATTTCAAATCAAGCTGATAAAACATGTTCTTGGCGTCCATAATGCTCCCACAGAGAAAATACAAACCCAGGATCTTTGTACCGACAAGGCTGTTTTTGACTAGTCCGCTGCAAATAACATGTGCATGAACTTGTCTACCTTGTTGGATAAGAGACTGATCACTGCAAGCTTGCAAGATAGAAGCAAACTGGCTTGCCAATGCCCCTTCCAAATTAAGGGAGTTTTTGTAGTTTGTATGTATGGACTTGGACCACTGTGGTGTAATGTGTATGAAATGTTTATAGACGGGACATATAATTCTATTGTACATCTCTTCTGCGTTGTAAGAATCATCTTTGTTCAGAGAGTCTCCGACATATCTTTTTTTTCTTTTTTTACTTTTACTTCCTGCTTATTGTTCTATATATTTGAAGACTAGGTGGTTGAAGGATACAGAAGAAGCACGAACACACACAGTCCACCTTTATCCGATTACTTTGATGTGTCCAAGCTGCCTTCCTAGTCCCCAGGCGCACCAAAAATCCAACTCATTGTTGTTGCAAGTTCCTACGTAATGTCAATAGAAACACGTAAAAATTTGCACAATCGTGGCATAATATTCACCTATCACGCTATCACTATTTGTTACCTAGTACCCTAAACCCTCCATCTCCTTATTCATCTTTTCTTTGTTCCTCGCATTTCCCTTCATTTCTAACCCAAAAGTGAAAATCGAAACAGTTATCAAACGGGCCCTTAAGTTTTTTCTTTTCCAAGCCAAAAACTCTTAAAGAAATTTCTGCAGTTTTGTTGTTTCTTTGAAATTTCCCAAGCTAATGGAACCTTTTAAAACAATACGACCTGCCCACACTGTGCCTGAGAGGATCTTGGATACAGACCTCCCCGAAGATAAATTTTAACATGACCAACAAATTTGTCGATGTCTTGGATAATAAACAATCCTGGACTATTCATAACCAAAATTCATAAACATACATGAAAATTAAAAATTAAAAATAATAATAAAACTGAAGTGCATTGAAATGTAGAAAAGCAGCCAAATCCTAATTACCAAACCTTAACTAAAATCTAATACGAATCCTAACCCCAAACTAAAACCCTCTGATAAAATCGTAAATTTGAGAATAAATGAGAAAGTGAAGGAAGAGGATAAGACATGCCTGGGTCAGTCCAAGTGAGAGAGCTGTGAGGCTTACAGGAAGGAAGGAGATGGTTCCCGGGAACTCGAGAAATTTTGGAGGCGAATCTACATCGACTGGAAAAAAAGACTGTCTCACTTACACGAATCTATCAAAAAACTCAAAGAGAAACAGAGCAAAAAAAAAAAGGTCATATAATTGAGGGAAAAATAAAAAGAAACGACGCCTGAGAGATTCGAACTCTCGCGGGGAAACCCCATGTACTTAGCAGGCACACGCCTTAACCACTCGGCCAAAGCGTCGTGTGACAAGTGTCCCTGCATTTTAGCTATAAAATTGCAAGTACTTATCGTTATCCAGCACGAGCAGTCGCACCACTGTAAACAAATGTCCATTGGTTTTGGAGGACATGTTTCCAATCCCCTAGCTTCCTTCCTATCTCCCCATAATTCTCTCTGTTGCACCACTTTCAAGTCCACCACTTTATCATGCACTCCCAACATTGTTTCAAATGCTTTTGTGATGAAACTGAAAGCACCCATGAAGCATCTTCCCAGGTTCGTTGTCATGAGGCAGTTGGCCAGAGCAGTATGCTCTGTCCGCCCTTGCATCCAAGTTTGAATCCGCTACCCGTAGAGCAAACTAGTTTAGAATATCAAATTTTAAAAAACATGCAATATGGATTCTTTGTGATTATAAATTGTAGGGGTTTTCGGCACTGGCAGCAGATGCTCCATGGGATAATGGAAGTGTGTGGAGCACTATGGCTTCTATATGTTCAGTTGCACATTCCTATATGTTTTGGAGGGTTGTCCGTGGCCGCTCATCTGTTGCATGAACCTACTCTTGATCCACAGACAGAGGTGAGCTTGTTTCTTGATTTCTGTTATCGACATCGAGTAAAAATGGCTATTTACACTATTTAGTATTTGATTCTTGGTAGAATGGGAATTGTGAGCGGAATTTATTGAAAAAAATTGGAGAATGATTGGCTCATTGCATTCCTTCGTTTGGAGAAATCACGGTTTGACACTCGTGCAGAAACATTTTGGTTGATGAGTCATTTCTCTATATGTGTCACAAATTGTGATTTGCGGTAAGAGAGCGCAAGGATCCGGTCAATGTTATTTCTCTTTTCAAGATTTAACATTTAAGTATAGGCGTAGTCCATTAGGGGTTGGATATGAAAATGGTTCAACGTAATAATTAGCTTCTCCGATCGGCTGTATGCATCAAACTATGGTTCAATTTGTTCCAAGGGACCATGGCTGTGAAAGCACATGGAACTATTTGCAATTCTCAATTTTAAGAAGCTTGATTTTGAATTAGTAAGTATGCAGCTTGCACACCGTCGATTTCTCTTTCCAATTTCTTGTTGGCAATGCAGGCAATATCATTGCTTGAGAGCTCATTGCAGCTCTGTTGCTTCTGCAGAGTACAGCTAAGCCACAATAGAAGTTTGTGGATTTCTTCAAGGCTAACAAACCATCAAAAGAAAGGAGCTGGCTGTTGGCATCATTCGTAGGATGTGGCTTTCTGTTCGCGTTGGTTTTCTTCCTTCTTTGCTGATAGAGTCGTTGGGCCCAAGGTTAGCGTAATTCTCTGGTTTTCTTATTATACTTAATAACCGAAGGTAATCTGCACAAAAACAAACTGACCAAAATGAACCAAAGGCAATCAGAAACCTGGAAGCATATATTTTGTTGCATGGCCTGATGACTTGGTTTGCTGCTGACATGATTCTGCAGCTGACACTCTAGCGCTACTTAGTGATTCGTAAACACATATTTTAGATAACGAGATGGCAGGATTTCAGCATTTTTATGTTGGTTGATGTTTGGTAGCGGCGAATGATATCATAGAAATAGGATCTCAAAACTGCATCACACAAGTCTAATACGTTTCCGTTGTCAAATTCTTCTCAAATTCTTATTACATCCCATTCATTTTTCTCTAAACGAAAAGATCAGCAGTTTAACAATGTTCTGGAAATGCTGTTCTCTTTCAAGCACTGAAGGAAATCTTGTCAATTAAGCAGCAACATCTCACAAGCTGCTTGTGTCCTCGTATACTGCATTGTCACTCCCGTGCTGGAAGAAACTGTAAATTTGGTCCACTACGAAATGGCAGTCTGCGGTTTTGAAAAGCTCGGCTATTTTTAGTGCAGCTCACTCATCAGGTGAGAATTTCTTACAGTTGTTCATCATTGGATGTGTACTTGGATGTTCTTATTCTTGGACCGGAAACTTGAGCTCTTACTCGATTTTGTAACCACTTTAAGTAACTCGCACTATATTTGAACCTTTCAGTTTCAATAACACAAACCGACTGGCTCCAACAAGTGAACAAAACAACTACATTTCTATTCTAATTTCGACTGATGCTAATATTCTCCGTCAAGTTGGTGCATAAATATCAATATTTTATGATAAAATGAGGAGATGCAGACTTAAGCTTAAAGTACGATCAATAGAAAAATTACAACGCCATCTCCTTGTTCTTTCTCTTCTTTTCCTAACCCTAAACGTCAGGGCCAAGGGTTTGATGTACTAAATTTCATGTCTCATTTGTGTCTCTTTTTTAGTCTTTTGACACGTATCTTTCAAATTAACATTGTTAGTTTGTTAAATTATCATAAAATTAATTAGAAAATAAAAACTGAAAATTAAATATAAACAAAAAAAATTAACAGCTACCCGGGCCTTGCAGTTTGCAGCCACCAACCCCAACCTCCCCCACTATTCGTGTCAGCTGCAATTGCTCGCCAAATTCTAGGAAAGTTATAATTGAGGGGAAATAAAAGGAAACGACGCCTGAGAGATTCGAACTCTCGCGGGGAAACCCCATGTACTTAGCAGGCACACGCCTTAACCACTCGGCCAAAGCGTCTTTTGATAAACCCTTTACCTGTTCTATATATAAAGCCATACAATATTCTTTAGCCATTTGTAGTCATTCTTTAAAGTTTCCACAAAATTATCAATATTTCCGTCGAAATATTCAAAAAATCAAGGACCGATACAAAAAGGGATAGGTGAAATGAAAACTTCACTATATATCGGCGAGATATGGGAAAATCAATGAATATCGACTATATTTGCCATATTTACTAAATAAATTTTGCCGCAACTCATTACAAATTTCAAACGTTTGAACTTTTTTGAGAAAAAATTCTCTAATTTTGACTAAATCTGAAAGTGTTGATATACATATTTCGTTGCAAATTTCCATAATTTCCGTCGAAATCAACCGTTATTGATACATCCATCAATATTTCTTTAAATTTGCATATGGATATTTTTACTTTTATTGATATTTTAAACACTATTTATGACTGGAATAACATAATGATAGAATATTATTGGCAACTGGCATTCTTTAATTTGAAGCTGTTATGATGAAGTTTGAATGGGGCCATGGACCATGGTGATTTCAACAAGTCACAATTATGTTCTGTAACAGAAATATGAGATTTGAAGGAATCATCATATTCTTCTTTTCTCTATTTGCCAACCTCTTTCCCCTGTATATGGATACAGGTCACAGAGTCATTTCCCCACTAACATCCACGTAATAGAAATTACGCCACAATGATTTTTGCACCCTTTTTTTTTTTTCTTTCTTTTGTGTTGTCGGTATTCTAAACTGAATATTATTACAACAATTTTAAACCATTCCAACTGGGCTGTAAGAGAGTCAATCAGTGATTGGTGCGTCCTTTGTTTCCAAAGCCTTCGTCCTTGCCCATTTTACACTTCTCTTCCGTGTACGACTTTTCACTGGCTTCACTGCTGATGACTTCTTCGAACGAAGGAGGAAGTTAGTGGGAAAGAACCAGAGCAAATCAGTCATAGGTCAATCCATCCAGGAAGGCCCTAGATTTGTATCATGATAGTGCTTGCACATGTATACTTGCTTTCCAACATGACCTAAAGATAAGGTTCTTTGCTAATGTACTTTATTTATTGTATAACATTGGACCTTTTGTCAAAGTTATGTCATGATAAGATTGGTTTACGGTATAAGATTAAATTGTCTCTCTCTTTCCTATTTCGTTTTCCAACTTCACCAAATGTGAAAATGGAGAAATGTATTTTTCATGCCTTAGGAAAAGTCATGGAAAATTATTCCCATAAACTCCTTTTTGCGTATCAATTGCATCATAAAGAGAAAAGAAAAAAGTTTGAACTCGAAACGTAAAAATTAAAAAGAAAGAAATCTAACAACTGTAACCCACCACCAGATTCACCCACCACCTTCATTTGGTTCTACTCAATGTAGCACTAAGTATTTAACTTGTAACAATTTTTATTTTCTCGAAGTTGGAACATGCCCATGTTTAATTATCTTTACTAATTAATAAAACATTCATTGTCAATTAAAATTTTATAAAATTACCAGTTTAACTCTTTAGTTAAAACATATCATGAATAAGAAATATGGGGCAAAAATATGATTTCAAACAACCAAATTGTGCTTTTTTTTTTTTCAAAACCTCACATACATATGAAGTTAAAATACCTCTAATATTTATTATTAAAAAATAAAAAATAAAAATAAAAAAACCTCCCACTCCTTCACGTTCTCTCTCTCTCTCCCTATGTCCTTCTTATTTTCTAAAAAAATATGCTCATATACACAAAATGTGTACGCAAATGCTAATTTTTAATTAAGAAAAACTAATTTAGATTAAATGTAATTTTTCTGATTTAGATTAAATGTAATTTTTCTGTTTTTTTTTTGGGTCGTGGCCTACAACTTCATTAAATTATTTTGAATTGAACACCATACTGTAGCAATGATTTGAAACTTAAGAGCAACTCCATACCCACCGCTTCGTGTCGACTAAAACTCCAAATAAATTACAAACGGTTGTGGTCCCATATAATAAAATAAAATTTTACATTTGGATTGATAAGTGCCTTTCCCTGATAGATTGTATATGAAAATAATACAATAAAATAAAATATAACTCCAGTAAACTTCATATTTTGTATATGAAAATAAAAAAAAATGTGATAAATTTTCAAGAATTTGGTGTTGGACACCTGTTATAATCATAATTGAAACATTTTTTCTCACCGTAAGTGTATACTCATTATACAATTAATCATCTGTCACGTATATTTTGATCTAATTTTAATTAAATTTGACATTAAATATTACTTTTAAAATTTTAAAAAAAAAATTAACTAAAATTAAGTAAAAAAATATATGAAAAATAATTAAATATGCAATAAATATACACCATAATTTTTAATGTTTTAATGATGAGCAAAAATGCTCTCACATAATTTTCAGCTCAGAAATATCAGCCCAAAGAGCGAGCCCAAAGAATATCCCCATTTCAAATTTCGATTAAAAACCACAGATGTCACATGCCAGCTCATCCTTATTCTTATCCCGCAATTAACGTCGGCTAATCAGGCATTATTTACGATTAAACCATTCTCCGTTGGATTTCCGCCACGTGTGACGCGTGAGTTGGATCCGAGGCGGTCCCCTTTTGAAAAGAGACGTGACCAACACACAATTACAGCACCTCCTCTTCTAACCGCCATAGTTCCCCCATAAAACCCCGCGAAACCAAACCTATCTCTCTACTCTGCTTCTGTCTGCTCTCTTCTCACTCTAAAACTTTAGGTGGTTTCTCTCTCAAAGTAGAAAGAAAGAATGGCAGGTTTGGGGAACAAGGTGAGGGAGCTGAAGCACTTTGTGAACAGAGGAGTGAGGGTCGTCGGAAATTCGTGGAGGAAGGGCTGGTTCAGGGTTAAGCACATAAGAGGCCAACGTTCTAGAACACACTAGGCGCTAATCGGAGGCGAGCTACGACGTAACGCATAGAGGCGGATTTAAATAAATTTATTATATTTCGTGTACGTAAGTGTGTTTATGAAGTATTGAATATAATAAACAATTATTTGGTGTGCTCATTTAAGTATTTAGCAAGTTTTTTTATAATTTATTAAAAAAAATTAAATGCAAATTAAAAGTTATTTATTTTTTTGTTTAAATAAGTTGTAATTTAGGTCGATGCTTAGTCGGGTATTTCTTAATTTTTAAACGCATAAGTATTAGATGGGGTTTTTAGAACAGTATAAGAGGCTGATCCATCTCTTATCATTTTTGTTTTTTATTTAGAAAATTAATCTGGCTGATTATTTATGTCTAATTTTCCGTTTGTAGTACTTGATTTTGACTGTAAAAAAGATGTGGGGGTGTTTGTTTGCTTGGATTTTATATATGAATATCACTTTTTGAATGATTGAATCTCTTCGATTCGGAATTATGTGTTGAGATGTTATTACTTTTTATGGTTAATAATTGATGTTAAATTATTCAGTCTCCTTTGCCAATTATTTTTTTAAATGAAAAATGAATTATGAATTCCCTGAATTAATGAGGTCCTCGACTCATCCGCAGCAAGACTCGTTTAATTCAACAATTTTCCATGAGATGGATGTTGTAATCAGTTGTTAAACTTCCATTTAAATGGAATATTTTTCCAATTAGTTCTGAAAATCCTTGAATCTTTTCCAGAAAATAAAAAGAGAGAGTATGAAGGGGAGAGAGTGAAGCAGAAGAGAATTGTAGAGAGAAATTGGAAGTTTTGAAGAGAGCCAAAAAGACATCTAAATTAAATATTAATAAAACTCTATGAAATATTATTCTAACCCTATAATCAAATTTAAAGATAAAGTAAAAAACAAATCGATAGTAATGTAATTTTACACAATCAAAATATATATATTTTTTTAAGCCGTACTTGTTCCAACTCTAATTAAAAATTAAAAATAACCTTCTTTTCCAGACCCACATTCTGTCTCTTCTCTCATTTCATTTAAAAAATAAAATTAAAACCGTTCACAATCAGTGTGAGGGGGCATATGTTAGTTGTAGTAGAAACAGTTTCTTAAATTTCGTAAGCTTTTCTGATAGACAAAAATATCGGCAAACGTTCTAAATGAGTTCATACGTTAGTAACCTTACCTTCGTGAGAACATAAGAATATTGGCAAGTAACACGGCATGATCAACCATATGGGCGAATACTTGGATACTTTTTTTTCTAATAAATATGTATATTCTCTTTAATAAATCAACATTCTCTTAACTTTTTTTTAACAAAATATGGTTTCAACGATAATAATTTCAATTAGAATTTTTATTATTTTGTTAAATCTTTTAGTATAACGATATATTTTACATTAAAAGAAGAGTTTGGAAGCCACATAATAGATAACCTAATTCGGTATTGAATTCGTCATCTACGAAATTGGAACTTAATATCTC